AATAATTATATTGCATATTTAACACCAGTTAGTTTTTTTTTTTTTTTTTTACCAAACATCAAATTTCATTAATAAGACACCAATGTACAAGGGCTAGCCAATTGGCTACATAATCAAAAGGAGAAGTCCTCAGCAGAACTTCCCTACAAGACCATATTTGGCCATTCTAACATCCTACTCAAGAAAAACTAAGAAAAAGAAGAGAAAATCACTGCCTCGAAAGAGGGAATAAGAGCAAAAATATCAGAGGCCAAAACAGCTATATTACAATCAAAAGCAAGATATTTAGTCAAATGCTGCCTAAGGATTTCACATCCCACCTGAATTTCAACTTGCTGCCACCCCACCCTTTCACCCATTAACAGCCATTCTCTGATTTGGAGTAAGGAGGACTCCCATTGATGGTTCCCCTTCTGTCCAGTCACAGATACAGCAACATGCTCCTTCCCATTTATAACAGCTTTGCACAGCAGATGCCCTTTGTGGATGTTTTGGACACTAGCACTGGGAACCTGAGAATGTTCCCCTACTCCTTGTCTCAATAACACACAATGGTTTCTGCTCCTTGACCTTGCACTGTTCCTTTTGATGTGATCATATTCCAACCATTCTCCTATGGCCCCTTTCACAAGTTGTAATTCAGTGGTGTGTACCTTATTGAATATCCAGTGGTTGCGTGTTCTCCACATCCACCACAGGAGATATGTGGATAGAGTAATCCTTTGGCCATTTGCCACAGAATTTTGCATGGAACATAAGTCTTCCCACCATTCTCTGTAGTCGATGTGATCTTGGTTAAGCTTTACCCAGTCCAAGCCTGCTATTTTCCACACCCTTTTGGCCCTGTGACACTTGAAGAATAAGTGAATTATATCTTCATCCTCTTCTCCACACCAGCAACATTTGGTATCAACTGCCATACCCCTCTGGTGCAGTTTTACTCTTATGCCCAGCCAGTTGTGCCAACATCTCCATAAAAAGTTTCTCAGTTTTGGCTTTATAGGTAGCTTCCAGATTCTATTCCAGATGTGGCTGATTGTCTTGTCTGTGTTCCTGCTTGAGCCTTCAGATCCCTTCTTCATTTTGTGATTGTGTTGGATGGTCTTGTATGCTTCTTTGACTGAGAACATTCCTTTTTTGTCAGAGTGCCACACCAACTTGTCTGTGGAGCCTGTTTGACTGACATGGATTTTTAAGATGTTTGCAGCATCCAATGGGCTAAAAGTTTGCATGATGAGCTCATAGTCCCATTTTTTGCCACATTCCAGCATTATGTCTGAGACTTTCTTCAAGTGCAACTTATCATCTGCAAATTGACAAACAGGTTTGAATTTTGTGCTGTTTGGGATCCAAGGTGAATCCCACAAATTGATAGCCTTACCAGAACCTACCTGAAATCTCATTCCTAACTCAAGTGATTTCCTAGCATCTAACCACCCTTTCCACATCCAATAATCACTAGACTTCTTGCTAACCTCCATAAAGTTTTGCCTAAAGAAATATCTACCTCTCAAAACCTTACTCATAAGACAGTTTGGCTTTGTTAACAATCTCCAAAGCTGCTTAAGGATAAGAGCTTCATTAAAATCACACAGGTCTCTGAACCCTAAACCCCCCTCCCATTTTGACTTAGCTAGACAGCTCCAAAGAGTCCAGTGGATTTTACTCTTTCCCTCATCAGTTTTCCCCCACCAAAAGGTAGCTAAATCTCTACAAATATCTTGACAAACCCCCACAGGTAATCTAAAGATGGACATCACATAGACAGGGAGAGCACTCAAAACAGTCTTTATAAGAATCTCCCTGCCTGCCTCATTTAGGAATTTATTCCTCCAGCTCATAATTCTAGAACTCACACACTCTTTAACAAAAGCAAAGGTGTCTTTTTTGTTTCTGCCAATTCCCAGTGGAAGTCCCAGATACTTAGAGCTTTTAGCAATGACAATACCTTGAAGGATATGACAAATATCAGCTTTAAGGGCATCTGGAGTATTGGCTGAGAAAAAAACATTGGATTTATGCAAATTTACTGCCTGACCAGAAACAAAACAATAGAGATTCAAAATATTGAGTAAGGTTTGAGCATGGAAATGATCAGCATGGCAAAATATCAAAGCATCATCAGCAAAAAAGAGGTGAGATATACTTGGTGAATGTTTACTGATTTGGATTCCCTTGTAGTTAGAGGATACACAGGCTTTATTAATAAGATTTGAGAGGGCTTCAGTAACTATGATGAACAGGTATGGAGAAAGAGGGTCTCCCTGTCTCAGCCCTCTGGAGGGGATGATGTTGCCCAATGCTTGCCCACCTATATTAAAAGAAAAAGAAGTAGTGCTGATACAAGCCCAAATCCAAGAAAGAAAAGTTTCCCCAAACCCCATTTTTCTGCAGATTCTAATAAGAAAAGACCATTCTATTCTATCAAAAGCTTTGGCCATGTCAATTTTTAGGGCCATGAAGCATTTTTTGCCTTTTTTCTTGCTGTTGAGAAAATGCAAGCATTCATTAGCTATTACTATGTTATCTAGGATTAATCTATCAGGGACAAAAGCAGCTTGGGACTGAGATATGCAAGATCTAAGAGTATGCTTGAGTCTAGAGGCCAGGATTTTGGAGAAGAGCCTATAGGAAACTGTACAGAGGCTGATTGGCCTAAAATCAGAGACCTTTTGAGGGTTTTTAATTTTAGGTATAAGAGTTATAAGGGTGTGGTTGGTATAGGATGGAATGCAGCCAGTATTGAGAAAATTATCAATTGCTGAACAAAGGTCCTTTTTTATAAATTCCCAGTAGGATTGAAAAAAACAAGGTGTGAAACCATCAATACCTGGAGATTTGCTTGGCTCCATATCCCACAGGGCTGCTTTAACTTCCTGCTCATCCACTGGTCTAGTGAGTTCCAAGTTCATCTCAGTAGTGATGGAGTTTGGGATACCTGAGAGAGCTTCCTCAATAAAGTCTGGGTTTGCAGATTGGAAAATGCTCTGAAAGTACTCCATTATCATCTGAAGTTGCTCAGTTCTGTCTCTACACTTTACACCATTGCTGTTAACTAAATTCTCAAGAGAATTCCCCCATCTTCTTTGTTTGACACATGCTTGAAAAAACTTAGTGTTACTGTCCCCTTCCCTGAGCCATTTGAGTCTGGACTTTTGTTTCCAGTAGCTTTCCTCATCTTTATAAGCCTTATGCAGGAGCCCCTTACAATTTTCCCATTCAGCCCAGTCTCTGCTTCCACCTTGTTGTCCCAGAATCTCAAGCTTTTGGTTACATGATTTGATGGCTTTGGCTGAGTTTGTATGATTTTGCACAAGCCACCCCAACAATCCCATCTTGGTATTTCTGAGCTTCTTCTGGAAATTATAGAGACCTTTACATCTCTTTTCTGAGTTCCAAGCTTCCCTAATACAGTCCTCAACTCCTGCTTGCCCAACCCACCTATTATCAAAACAAAATATCTTTCTTTTTTTTTCCTCCAACACCTCGGTTTGCAGCACCAATAGATGGTGATCAGATGATACCATTTGGACATGAGTGACAAAAGATTTGGGGTACTGTAAGAGCCAATTTGGGGAGAGAAGGAACCTGTCCAATTTTTCCTCAACAAAATCAGAACCTTGTCTACCATTTGACCAAGTAAAGGGATGACCAATGAAAGGGCATTCAAGCACCCCAAGGATTTGGGTAAAATTTTTAAAAGCATGGAAACTGGACTCACTTCTGACTAGACCCCTATTTTTCTCCTCATTACTGAGGATGTCATTGAAGTCTCCTCCAATGAACCATAAATCACCCCATCTGAGGTGGTGTCTTATCAGCATTTGCCATTGGGACTTCCTCTCCTCTTGCTCAACACTAGCATATACAAAAATAGCCCAAATCCTATCACCTACCCCTTCCCAGAGGAAACAGACTTCAAAACAGAACGAGTTTTGGATAATATCAATAATTTTGATTTTATGGGATACTCCTAACAAAAGACCCCCTTTTCTACCTACAGGGCTAACAAATTCCCAGCTACTAACAAAAGGAATGTTCTTACAAACTGTATCAACAAAAGCTTTTTTCTTTTTCACTTCAGAAATGAAGACAAAATCTGGAAGGTAGGATCTTATATTATCCTTCAACTGGGGAATTGTAGAGGGTCCTCCCAGACCTCTACAATTCCACACCAGTACCTTCATTTATCACTTTGGGACCAGTTATGGCTGGTTTCCTCCACCATTTTTTCACTCAAAACCTCAGTCAACTTTTGCTTCTTGGTTTCAACTAAGTGTTGAGCTTGAGCAGTATTGTCAGAGGTATCAGACTTCCTTTTCAAAACAGGAGACTGGGGTGCTATGTGATGGGATTGAGGTGTTTGGACTTTAGTTGTCCCAGAGATTTGAACATTTCCTCTATTCTTGGTGATTCTATGGAAGGTTTTTTGTTTTGGCACATCAGTGGACTTAGCTTGGCTAATTGGAACATTGATGAGATTACTGAAGTTAGGATTTGGGATCCCACTTAAGTCCATCTCCATGGGTTCAATTATAATGGCCTTGCCTTTACTGTTTTCAGGAGTTTTACTTCCTGAGCCAGTAGCAATAGCCAGTTCCAAAGTTGTGCTTATGATGGGAGTTTTATCCGGGGTTTCTAATCTCTCTCCTATGCTATGATTGGGGATATTGGTTCTCACACTATCACTTAAAGACTCAATCCCGCCCCCCTGTTTTATGGCTTTGCTAGATTCAGAGTTTTGTTGAGGATTAATCGGACTTGAGGATCGCTTTTCTTTTGGCTCAAACATACCCCCATAAGAACCGCGAAGCCATTCTCCATACTGACCTAAGCTAAGCGAGCTATTATGAATATCCGCTTTTTTCAGGTCACAACCTCTGTCATTGTGTCCCACTCGGCCACAGTAGAAACAAAATGTAAGAAGGTTTTCATACCGAAAATCTATCCAGAGTTCTTCTGAGGCAAGGGTGATGAAAGTACCTCTTGGTAATGGTTCAAGCACATTGATATCAGCGAGGATTCTGACTATTTTTCCATTCACACTACCTGCCCCTGGAATAGCAATGTCATGGATTCTGTCAAACACTTTTCCAATCTTAGCTCCTGTTTCTTCAGAGATCCAATGCAATGGAAGATTATGGACCTGAACCCAAAGGGCGACTTTCAATTCCTCATCCTTAAAATCCGTTTCCCCTTTTTTCCATTCTTTGAGCAGCAGATACTGGTTGTCAAAAGACCAATTTTTTCCTCTTAACACTTTGGCCTTATCTTCCTCCGCATGAAATAGGAATTGAAAGTGGTTGTGTCCCAAGATTCGAACAGAGAAAGGTCTGCTGGTTCGCCATATAACACCCATGGTTGTTTTCAGACCCCCCATGTTAACTTTTTTATCCCCCACTATTTTTCCAATGAGACTGAGATTACATTCTTGTAGGCCCGGTTCTATGTCTTCATCTGATAGTCGAACCCGAGATTTTTCTCTATCCGATAGAGTGAACTTCTGAAGCTTCTCAGTAATGTCCTGTTCCATCTCACCGAGATTCGTTGAAACTCACTAGATTTGCGGTGATAGAAGTGGCCACCCTGCAGAATACAAAGTCACAACAGAGAGAAAAGAAGCAAAGGAAAACAGGAAAGACAAAAGAAACCCAATCAGAATTAGGGCAAATGAACAGAAAATAACACAGGAACTTCCTAAGAGCCGAATTACGGAATTAACTGCGGATAAAATCAAAGAAGAGCGGTAAATCCAAAATATTGGAACTGCAAAACCCTAAGTAGGGAGGGATTCTTCCACGGGAACGGGAAACATTATAGTACCAGTTAGTTAATTAAATTAACAATATGCCATTTTGGTATTCAATCTATAATAGAATTCTAACTTTGTAAATAACATAAAAAAAAAAAAACAAAAAAACAAAAGCTCAGTTGTCCAAGCTAAAACTAAACAATCAAGCCCAAAAAGGAAAAAAAAAAAACAAAAAAAAAAAAGAAGAAGAATAAACAATGCATTTGGTGAGTGGTGACTTAAATATAATGGATGAGTATGTTACTTATAATGAAATCAATACTCTTTGGTAATTTGGTCTAAGTGAATACTTGAATCTCTGTGTTTTTTTTTTAATCGAATCATGAAATCAACATGTTGGTTGTTTGTTTTAAATTTTAATAGAATCAATACTCTTTGGTTTAGTTTATATGTTTGTCCCGTTTTGTCCCGGTCCCAAACGATACCGGCTCATTTGGGACCGTGCCTCATCCTGGACCGTTATCGGACCGGTTCATTAAAGTGGGATCGGTTCCGGGACCAGACTGCGCCCACCCCTAGGGTCAGTTTGGTTGACATGATAGGGAGTGATATCAAACTATTTAGTATATTATCCATCCTTTTGACATGTTTGGTTTGCAACCATTAAGACCTGAAAATAACTCTTGCCTCTTGGCCCCATTAACTTGTTTATACCGTATCCCACAAATTTTGTTGGGAAAAAAATCTTTTTCAACCCAATACAAAGATACATTAAGTTTTTCACACCACCCACTAACAATCAAGCTTTTTCACCCCGAAAAGTGCGAAGGTTATGCGAATGGACTGCATAACTATCGCATATCAATTTCATAACAGTCGCATATTCATCGACCAATGCCTTCGCACTTTAACTTTTTCCACCCCAGAAAGTGCGAAGGAATCTTCGAATGCCTTTGCACTTCTAACTTTCGCACAATGTCATCGCGTAACTATCGTATATTCATCGCATAATGCCTTTCGCACTTTTTGGGGTAAAAATTTAGCTTTTTATTGGGCGGTGTGAAAAACTTAGCCGGACTTCAAAATGGGGTTAAAATAACTATTTTCACATTTTGTTGGATACACTATCATGTTGAGCTCATAAGCCTAAGTTACACAAATGTCCCCAAGCTACTTTTCCACCAAGCTTGTAGTTCTTTATGAAATAGAAGTCTGGGATATGGTGAACTCGGTGGTCCGTCGAGACAAGAGCTGTGAGGTCTGCTGGGGATTGGGTGTGAAGAAGGTGCCGGAACTGGAATCGTCGACCGCGAGCCACAACATCATTCAACCATCTTCCCAACACCTCTGTTCTCCAATAGGTAGTTGTTCATAGATAATTTTTGTTCTTCGCAAAAGACCTTTGGAAATCCTTTTGTTTTCATTTAATTTAACTCGAATTAGAACCCCGAAATCCAAATTCCCGTCGTTGCTCTCTGCTTTATTTTTGAATTTCGCAAATGAAATGGGAGATGGAGGTAGATGAAATGGAAGTTGGGCATGAGAAGATTTCGGATCTGCATAGCTTAGCGACGTCATAGTTCATACACTCGATTTAATTGGGATCACTATTGGTGTTGGCCAGTTCAATTTTGTGTTAGATATGTCAATGTTTTTCTTGGGGTTCATGAAGTTGTGTGCATCGGCCAGTTCGATTTATGGATGCACTTTGCAAATTTAATTGTAAATGAAGGTTAATTATGCGAAATCTTCTTTACAGTAATTAATATTCGACATGAAACAAACAAGTTATTTGGACCTGATTCTATCAGTTGGATAAAGCTAATAGAGGAATTTACACCCTATACTCTCAAGTATATTTTATCTTGCATATTAACACCCAACTAATATTTATTTGCAAATATACAAAATCACTCAACATATTTGCACATATATGCAATCAACTCTGTCTATAAAAGTCCTTAAATTAATCAACCCTAACTACCACATCCATCACCCCAAATCGGGCCCTCCAATCACCACATAGACCCCATCTCACCATGGACACAGGATCAGAGCCCCACCAAAACGTGGCCCAGCTCCAATTGACACGACCGACGCCAACCAAAATCTTATACCACCAAGGTCCGATAGCTACCGGCCTTGGTCGCCATCCACAACCACCAAGTCGACTTCACAGTCGTGCTGACCACAGCCGCCGGCAGACGCGTGGCACAGCAGCATCTTCGGCTCCTGCTCCAGGATCTTCTTCACCACGGCGAGATCTCGCTGTGTCATTTGGAATGCTGTGCCGAACGAGACGTCGTCGTCTTCGTCTTCCTCTTCTTGCTGCTCGTGTTCAGATGGGATTTGAGCCGACTGTGAAACACCCATTGATAAGGGAGAAAGTGGATGATGGTGGATTGTTGCTTAAAAATTAGATCTCTAAGATCTATTTCACGAGAGGGAGAGAGAGCAAATTATTATGTTATTACAAACTGATTGAATAGAAGTTGAAAACTGGGATTAGGCAAAAAGCTTTTGTATTGAGAGTGGGAAATGGTGAGATCTAATGAAATAAGAAAAAAAAGGAGTATATGTTCAGTATATTAGAAGGTTTTATTGTAAACTGTTAGTATATGTTGTGTGTATAAAGAGTATATGTTCGGTATATTAGAAGATTTTTTTTGTATAGAAAATATAAGTAACATGTTATAATATGTTTATAAATTATTATATATATATATATATATACTTTTATGTATAAAAGTAAAAAAAAAAAAAGACAGGAAGACATAATTTTTTTATAGAAGACATGTTTTTTTAATTGCAACATATACTGAATATAAGTAATGTTACAAAGCCCACTTGGTTTACTACTTGACTTACAACTCAAGTGTAAATGTATTATTTTTTAATTTCTTGATAATGATTTCTTGCAATAGTGCTAATATTTGTAAAAGGGTTTTAATTATGTAATAAAATATAAATAACTTGGTGTAGGAGGTAATTTTCTCTAAAAATTTCCACTAATAAGGCATGTGGAAATTAATCAAGCCCAATACCCATTTCCAACCAAACCTACCCATATGAATAGGAGAGATACGTAAGGGTTTGGGTCTCTGCATAGTTTGGCATAAAAAATTTCAGATCCAGAAACTATACGGCTCCCAATACACAGAGAAAACCAGCAGGAGCGTTCGGCAATCTAAGACCCTACTCCCGTTTTCAATTCTAACGACACCTTCGTAAGTGTGCGTGTACGATTGATATTTTTTTGTTCTTTGTCAATGTGTGTGTTGAAGGTTATGGGGTCTCAATTTATGTTCCTGTGCAGACGCAGAGCAAGATAGCAGTAATGGGGTCTCAATTTGATGTCGAAAGGGCAAAAAGATGTATCGGGCAGCCGCGACTGGATGTACTGAGTGATGAATCATCAAGACGGCGTGTGATGAGAGATCTCAATACCCAGTTTGCGAGGTCTCTTACTGCTAATATCTTTTCACTCACTCATTCATATTATTTTTTTTTCTTTTTAATTATTAATGCTTGGAGACTGATTTTGCTAGTTATTTGAGTTTCTCGAGTTAGCTGGAGTGATTGTGTGCTTCGTTCTGGGGTGGACTGCATAACTTTTGGTTCAAATTACTGAACTGTGGCCGTCAGTTTTGTGTAATGCTTGTACTTTGTGTTGACCCCAGCTTATCTTAGATGGATGAAATTGTTTGTAGCAGGGTGGAGTTGCGAACATTGAAATTTTGTGTGCTGGGTTGACCTCAGTAATTTGACACTGTCATGCTTGAGTTGGCAAAAAGTTTCCTGTTCCTAAGATCGTGTCTTTATGTTTAACTGGAATGCTGTTGGCAGTACCACAAGTTTGAAAGTTAGATACTGTAAAATCTGAGGTTTATTTGTATCAGTTCATGTTCTTTTGCTTGCTTTCTCTGTTATGTTATGTGTCATAGATTGGAAGTTTGTGAGTACTCTGCTTTATATCCATGCCCGAGATGTGCTGTAGTAGTGTAGTGGACTTCTTATATTTCCTTTCTGACATGGTTTAGATTTGCTTGGTAATGTTGTGAACTCTTACATGATCAGTTGGATGCAAAGTCAATTTCAAAACCATCCAGATGAGTTTTTTTGGGAGGATGGAGTGCAGGATTTCTTAAACCGTGCTAAAAGCGTCATGGTAATTTCTCAGTATTTGCAATTTTACTCACTATCTCTAAGTCATCTAGTGCGCCACTCGGCTGTGATGAAGTCATCCTGGGGGGTCATTTCTATAGCTTTTAGTTGCTATATGGGAATATTTTGTGATTACAAGGATGTCGACCGGATATTATTTGGTGAACTTTTTTGTTTATGCAAGTACTTGGCAATCTCATTATCCTTCGGCCATTTTGTTTTGGTGTAAAAGAGCATGCGGCAGACATTGATTGTGACTCTTTTCCAGCATTTGGTGCTATTCATATTAAACATATTTTTTTCACAAAAATCTCTTGTAAAGTATGTTGTTGAAATTTTAAATAAACATTATTAAATTTAACTAGACGCCATAAAAATACTGACCGTGCCATCCTCATGGGATTGTCTTATGCGATGTGAATCCTTCAGGGGATGCTTAGATATAATATTTTTTTTTTTGGCTTTTGATTGGATTTTTGCATTTTGTATGGTTAATTTTGAAAAAAGTGGAATGGTTAGTTGTCAGGAGTTTATATTAGAATAATATTTAAAATAAAATAATTAAAGTTGATTTGATGTAAAAGTAGGAGAGATGTGATATGAAGTGATGGTTAGTTAAAATTATGTGAGCGGATAAATAGTGAATTAAGGTTGATGTAATATGTAAGAATGATTGATTGATATTATTTAATTATATTGGTAATATTGAGGATAGTGGAGTCGAGTTAAAGTCGAGTTAGATTTGATTTAAAATGAGTGATTGGTTAAAAATGATTGGAAATTTTTAGATAAATTTGTATCCAAGCATCCCTTAAATCACTACCACTAATTGTTGAGTAGTTTTTGAAAGTGGCTCCGTCAGTTATTCATGTGTTATCAAAATGATTGATTATATGAGAGGTGTATAATGCTTTCTACTGGAAGTGCGAAGGTCCACTGCATGTAGTGGCCTGAGTAAAATCTCTCTCTCTCTCTCTCTCTCTCTCTCTCTCTCTCTCATCCTCTCTGTATCCAACCTCTATCTAGGAGCAGGTTTTTAGATTAATAAATTAATCATTATTCTTTTTGGCATCCCTTTCACTGATACATCCTAATGAGTGAGGAGACAAACTTTTGAGGACTTAAATTTTTGGGTGCAAAAGTAACTTTCTGTAGTTTACTGTTAGTGTACTGACTTGTTGTCTTCAATTGTAGGAGATGTTTGGTGGTGATGTTAATCCGTTGAGAACAAATGCCGTGGAACGAGGGGGTATAGCTAATATTCCATCTGAAGATGCTCAGATGTTTGGTGAGTGTGTATTTATATTCACTATGTAGCTTGTATCTACTGCATGCAATAAATATTAATTACAAGATTTGATTTATGTGTTTGCAAGTTATTCAAGTATGAATATGTTCCCAATTAGAATATTTACAGAGTAGCTACCATAGTCGCTCTAATTCATAATATCTTAAGTCTCTTTTTGTCTCATTAGTTCGCTCTAATTCATGATATCTTAAGTCTCTTTTTGTATCATTAGTCCCACTGCATACTGGGTTCCCATATTTGGGTGATTTAACAATGCTTCTTTCCATTCAATAAAAGAATCCTGTACTGGTATTTTTTTTCTATCAATAAATGATGTTAGTTCAGTTAGAGTGTACTTAAAATTCTATACTTTGGTTCTTTACCCTTTATAATTGACGATGTGTTTGAAAACTGTGATCATCTTGCTTAATTTTGGATACTGTTTTGTGCTCATGGTCTCCAGTAAGCGAGGTTTCAGTTCCTGGAATTGGAAATGCCAATGCTGTTACTTCAAATGAACCTGATGGAGGTAAGGGGTGATAAGGTCTTTATGATTAAATGATCGTCAATAAAGCTGTTAATTATCTGGTTAACTGTTAATTATCTGGTTAATCCATCCCTGCTTATGTCCACTTTATGATCATCCGTATTATAAGGTTTGAATGCTTGTTGCGTTTCTAATCAAGTTATGATTTGCTTGCATTTTCGTGTGAAATTAATTTCAAGAGCTCAATGCCTATGTTCACAATACAAAATCCTCCTAGAATGACCTCAAATTGTGAGTTTAGGATGGAGATTCCTTGTAGAATGTCCCGAAAAATTGAAGTGGTTCACCAATCTTAACAAGGACTTATTTAATGTGCATTAATACTTTTTAGAGAGCCAAAGCATCAGGGTAACAAAGACGATGGTGACGGACCCGACTCTCGACGACGACAGGTGGGGATTGTTTGTAAAGTACAAGCACAAGTTTTGGTTCGAAGAGAACGATTATGACGTCCCTGAATCCTATTTCTACTACCAGACCGGCGAGAAGATTCAGCCCAATACCATCGAGCTGGTCAAGAGATTCCTCAAACAAGTCCGCGAATCCAGGGTATCTATCTATCCCTAAAATCCTTCTCCTTCTCTGCCCCCGTACTGATTCTACTGGTGGTGGTGGTGGTTTATTTTATTTTTATTTTTTGTTGAAATCCGATTGTTTATAATTAGGGTTTTGCTCGCCTAATGGGTCCTGTTTTTTTCATCCTTAATTTAATGTGTTTGGGCCGCTCTGATTTGCTGCATCTGTCTTATATACTCGTTAAATTTGTTTAATTATATATTTTATGTTGGTTTGTCTTATTTTGTTTTGTTTTGTTTGTTTTCTCAAATCAGGTTTATGCTTTGTTTTCTGATTTTTGTAGGGTTATGATGTGGACTGCTGCCCACCTCGGATGTTTGAATCTCCATTCGCACCACTTTCACTGGAAGAGATGCGCCAGGGTACAAGTGATATTGATAAATTCGGGTATGCTACAGTTGTCGAAGCAGCTGAGTGTGCAATTCAGAAAATCAGTGAAGAGACTGTGCGTTTCTGATCTGTCCTCTATATATTTTGCTTTGTAATGTTATCACCTCAAATCATGAACATTCTACTAGCCTTATTTTGCTTATTTTTTATTGTCTACTAAAAGTCCAAATTACAACAGGGTCACAGTTATAAGCTTGTGAAAGTCGAGAAGGCTGTCCTGACCACCGCCTCGGTGGTATTCTTGACTTTGACTGCCGAGGAAGATGGTGGCCCTGTGCAAACTATTCAAGCCGCGGTCTACGAGCCCCGTGGTGGCTATTTAGTCCTTCAAGAGTGGAGGTTCAAACCACTCCCTGCTCATTGACATTGTTGTCAACTTTAAGGTTTAGTTGTAGTTGTCCGTGTCTTCCTACCGTAACCTATCCCTATGCTTACATAAATCTGAATGTTCGTAGTATTGTGAAGATCTATTATGTTAGTTATCCATGAATTTAGACTTGACTTGAGACTTACGTGGCTATTTGTTATCAGTTACTGGTAGCTAATGCATGTGATGGAGCTGTCACTTATTAGTCTCTTGTTTGTTTCTTTTCTCTCAATCTGTTGAATAATTTTGTTATTACTTATATTACTGTCTTCTCAAGGAATTGCTTCCTTAATCGTTTTATGATGACGATATAAGGACAATATATGGGGAACTCAACCGGTAAAAATTTTGTTGGTACCCGCTTGTTCGTCTTCCATTTTAAAACCATTTGTTTTTACACAAAACAATTGTGATATCTTTCAATCTTGAGAGAATATTTATGTAGGCATTGTCTCTCAAACCAAGTTAGTTATCTTGTAAAAAATGCCTCTTATAATTTATATATTTATGTTGAATGTACTGTATATGTGTAATTTTTAGTCATGGTAACTAGTGGGCTCTGCACAGGCGGCCCGAGTTTAGTCTCTAATTGTGAAATATTATTTGCTTTTTCGTTGACTTTTAAAATTTGCAACTTAAAATGTGTATAACCTTATTTATATATTTACCCGACTCGAAAAATACAAATAGATACATTTGGCAGCATTTGTAAAAGTATGTGAAATTACTTGATATGAATCCATAATAAATGTAGGAGTCTCGGCATCTNCTTTCTAGAAATCCCAAAAATAAATTCTCACCAAGCCTATATTTGCCCAATGTATAGAAACAGTTTATTGTTTGTTCATCTAGCAATTTCCCAGTGATCAATGTAATTACTATTATTTATATAGAAAATTCTCCACTGTCATGATACTCATTTTCGTCACAGTAGATGCCCATTCTTCACAACCAAACCTCCATAAATATGGCTATCTTTGGTGAGCACAATCATATGGGGTTGAGAGTAATGTCAAACTCCATACAACACCAAAATTGCAAGTCTAGTAGACTAATCAAAGGTAGTAATTTCAAGCAGGGGACACAATCGTAGGCAATCGGTAGACCTGTTACTCATAGGAAAAGTGAAGATGCAGTGTATCTATATTCAAATATCCAACTAACTTGCCCAATTAACAGAAACTAAGAAGATGGTACACATCCAAATTGTGAATTTCAAAACCTGACTTTTCTCAAGCGCCAACTTTATGTACACGGTTTCGATTTCTTGCAATTACATCACTACTATCATCGATAAGTCCTCATCCATAACAAACCTTATTCTCATTCATCCCAAATACCATAACCTTCATTTCTTAATAAGAAAATATATAATTAAAAAAGCAACCCCTTCTCAATCTAAAAATTCGTTAAAAAAAATGAGATTGTATTTTCAAAAAATATGAAATTTACTGATCTAGGCTAGGCTATAAAAATCAGTACATTATTCCTAAAACCCGTATAATTAACCCTAGAATCTGGATCAAGCTATAAAAAGCTCGGGAATTTTACACAATAAAGCGACTAGAGTAACATTTCTCCAAGCCTGTACAAAATCACATCACTGGAATCGTTCCAACAAACAAAAGAGCATTTACACATTCAAAAAGCATATTATGAAATACAACCTCTATGAGATCATCAGGCAAATGGAATATCTCTCGTATCGTATTTCTTCTAGGGACTTCCCTTCAATAACCCTTGTAAGTGTACGACTCGTGATATCACTAAGGGGTCTCAGGTGTAGGCTATCAGCAGCTGACGTTAGCTCACAAAGCCATTTGGTACACATTCGAACAAATTTCTCATTGAAGGCCTTTCTCTCCTGCATTATATTGTAGGTGAGATCAACTATCGGTCATTTATTATCCTTGATATAAAATATAATCATTCGTGGGTAAACTAATCAAGTCAAGATGAAAATAAATAAAGAAAATGAAAAGAGGGGAAAAACTTTAAATTCCAGGATTGATTAATAACCTTGTTAGAGGGCGTTAATGACCTTGTTAGAGCGCCCTGGTACTTGATGAAACAGACAGTAGTAAAAGATCAGCGAGGATTAACCCGTGACGGAATTGGATAAGTTCTAGAAGATCCCATGCCACAACAGATTTCTCTGACATATAAATGGACAAAGCATGGCAACCTCTTCCTTCACTTGCTGAATTGAACCATCACAAGTTTGAAGGCAAACATAAGCCTTCAGCAGCTGAAGAGGTCGGCTTCTCTAATTGCACAACATGCAATCAATTAGACCGAGTGTTAAACATACTTCATTGATGCGCCTAGAGAAAAAGCAAACGATAAAATAGATAAAAAGAAAACAACTGACATTACACCCAAAATCAGTCGA